CCCAAAACCCCAAAACCCCAAAACCCCAAAACCCCAAAACCCCAAAACCCCGAAATATTATAAGTAAGCTGAAACATAAATTTAATAAATATGAAATCATTTATCCTAATTCTACTCATACTGGGTATTACCTTGGCAGAGGATCCTTTCGCTGGGGAGGACTACGATGCCGGTCTCATAGAAATTGCTGAGGGTGATGAACTATTCTACTGGCTTATTAGGTCAAGAGGTGACAAAAACAAAGATCCTCTTGTAATTTGGCTTAATGGAGGTCCAGGCTCCGCTTCAGAACTCGGCTTATTTTATGAAAATGGACCATGGAAAATCAATGACGATCTTACTTTGAGAAGAAATGACCATTCTTGGAATGAACTTGCAAATGTTTTATACCTCGACCAACCTATTGATGTTGGATTCAGTAAGACAGATGACTATGATCACATTCCAATCAATGAGGATGAGATCGCTGATGACTTCTACACCTTCATGACTCTCTTCATGGAGAAATTTCCTGAATACAAAGGAAGAGACTTCTACATCACTGGAGAAAGTTACGCTGGGCATTACATCCCAGCAATGACAGCCAGAATAATTGAGAAGAACAACTCTGACATTAATATAATCGCTTCAGCTATCGGGAATGGATGGGTGTACCCAAGACTTCAGTATCAAGAATATAGGACTTTTGCTGTAGAAAACGATTTGGTCAATGTATTCCATAATTACCTCTTGAAAGCTGGATTCTGGTTCTGTGATGTGCTAATCAGAAACAGCTTCACATTGGCTGCCTTCAAGCATTGCGAATATGTCACTGACACCGTTGTTGGAAATCCTCCATCTTTTAACACCTATGATATTAGAGATAAATGCGAGAATGGGTGCTATGACTTTAGCAATATTGGAAGACTTCTTGATCTGGAAGAAGTCAGAGAGGCCATCAACATGGATGACAGACAGTATCAGAGATCAAGCAGCAGAGTATTTACCAAGATGAGAGAAGATCAAATCGATAACTTATCTCCAAGTGTTAGATACTCTTTAGATAATGGAGTTGGAATGTTTATCTACTCTGGAGATAAGGACTATATTTGCAATTGGAGAGGAGGAGAAGCCTGGACAAACGAGATCTTCTGGGATGGCCAACAAAGATTCAGATCAGCTCAGTACGAAACTTGGTCAGTTAATGGTACTGCAGCTGGAGAGTATAAACAAGTTGGACAATTTACCTTCTTAAAATTCTTCGACGCTGGCCACTTAGTGCCCATGGATCAACCCAAACACGCATTAGAGATGTTCAGAAAGTTCCTAGCTAGGGAGTTTTAAAACGAAGTTCCATTTAAAACTTTTCTCTTCGAATCACTCAATTTTTGGAGACCATAAGGGGTTTTGGGGTTTTGGGGTTTTGGGGTTTTGGGGTTTTGGGGTTTTGGGG